ACCCGTAGATACGAGTCGCATCCACGCCTACGACTCTCCCCTTCTAGACGCGTCGATTTTCGGTATCTCTTCTGTGAGCTGCTGAGAGTAGCCATCGATTTAGGCTCCATTTCCTCTGATGACGGGTATCCTCACCTCTTGTGGGTATTCACCCCACGTTTCTCCGCCGCCCAGTCCTCTACGTCCGGCTGGTACCTCAGGATTTGCTCCAGTTGTGTTGGTCCAGCCAGTCCCCACTTGCTGACTTGCTGACGTGGTCCTGACCCGCTCGTCGCGTGTTGGGGAAACGCCCCGCCGCCTCCTCTCGGCGGCTGGGGGTCCTCTTCGCCCGCTGGCGCGACTCTATGGTGTTGGCGTTCGTCCGCCACAACGTCGCCAGGCTCCTTGACGCCTCGAGCATTATCGCCAACCGCGATACCCGCTCTTCCAGTCTCGAACACGTGTCGTCCAAACAGCGCGAGCGCGCGGGGATTCTCTCCCCCGCCCGCTCCTGCGCCACTACTTGTGTCTTCGGTATTGCTCGTGTCGCTCGATGCGGTTTCCCTCAGGGGTAAACTTTCAGAGAGTGTTTGCAGCCGCATCGGCTGAGACTTGTGTCAGTAGCTTGTCGACTAACGATAGGGAGACAATACCAGGGCGAAGAGGGAGAGCTGAAGCGCAGCAAAGAGGCTCTCCGTGCATCATCAACGACCCCACTAGTGCTCTCTGCCATCAGTGTGACACAAAAACCGAACGGCAGACCTATCCAACGAATATCCGTCGACCCACGAACAGACCCTGCACTGTCAACAGCAGGAACGAAGCCCCGCTTCGAATGGACGCGTGTAGGATTATTGCGCAAGGATGACTGACTTGTGGTACGGATTGGCTGCCTTCTCCCCCCCCACGCGCTCTTACTTTGTCGTTGTCCCAGTTCACTTCCATGGTGGCCTCCTGGCGACGGCCGTCGTAGGCGCGGCCGGCTTCATCGCCGGAGCGCTGTTCCTGTGATCGTGATCGTGATCGTGCTGCGTTTGATCACAGGAGTAGTATATTGCAGTCCATGCGCAGCAGGTGTTCAGCTGGTTACGTGATTTTTCTTCAGGGTTGTTGTGTACTTGTATGTTTGTCTCGGTCGTACGATGTAGTTGTTGTTGGGTGCCGCTCGTTGCCTCCTGGAGGCAACCCTACAGTGTCCGTTGTAGGATACGCCCGGTCCCCTTGGGGAGGCCCTGATTTTGATGTCTTGGTGTGTGTGCGAGCGGGTAGCCTGCCGGGTTCCGCTGCTGATGCTCAGCAGCTCACATGATGATGTGCAGGCTTCTTTCGTGCCCTATGCGTTAGTTAAAAGCAACCTTAGCCTTGTTGTGGGGTTTCAGGCAGTTGGGGTATTGGGTAGTGAGAACAGGTGGCCATTGCTTTCTTTGTGCGATTTTTGACCGTTCGTGGCCCCGATGTAAGGTATTTTGATTTGCCTGCCGTGTGTGTGACATTCATTTCCCGACCTTGGACGGGTAAAGCCCACCTCTAGCTTGCTGAGGTTGCGTGTCCGACGTTGGCCATATTTGGCGCACAAGCCATTCTTTCTTTGTTTTTTGCGGACAGTCGGTCCTCCTCCGTGTCCTTGGAGCGGAGAGTTGCGTATTTTTTTCTCCTCTTGTTTTCGATTTGGAGCGTAGCTCGTTGACAGCAACGGCAGAATGGTAGTAGATTCTTTGCGGTTGGACCGTTTGGGCCTCATGGCCGCGGTTGTGTTAGTGTGGTATGGTATGAAGGACAAGGGCCATGGTGGGCCTTGCCTGATGTTGTACATGGCAAAAAGGTACAAATGCATGCACT